ATATTTTCCCGACCAAATTTCTTAGTCGCCAATTGTCACATTTTGCGACCAAAAATTTTGGTCGCCAATTATTACATTTCGCGACCAAATTTTTTGGTCGCCAATTATCACATTTCGCGACCAAAAAAATTGGTCGCCATTTGTGTCTTTTCGCGACCAAAACTTTTGGTCGGCAAAAGTGAGATTCCACGACCAAGAACTGTTTTGGTCGGCAATACATGTATTTTTTGCGACCAAAACTCTTGGTCGGCAATTGTCATTTTTTGCGAAAAAAAATTATTTTGGATGTCGCGACTAATAATTAGTTGCCAAACCAGGAAAACAATACAGCTGTAATCCCTAATAATTCATTCAATCCATAATAAACCTATAATTTTAAAGCATCATTCAAATTAACTGAATCATTAACATTCGACACAATACATAAGGGCCCCACCTTGAGCCCTCAGTTTACTAGTGAAAATTTAAAGGATTTGTTTCAAACATTTTTCATCTATAAACAACTTCAGGATATCTTTTGAACAGTTGTCATATGGAAGCCTCAAGTTCATCCGGGCTTACAGCAGTTCCATTTGGGGTATCATCAGCACGGAGCTGCGAAGAGACATCATCTATGGCAGAGTTCAGCTGCGCGATCTTCTCAGTCAAGATTTTGCGTGTTCTCTGTTCTCATCAAATCATATAAAGTGGATGAGAGTTCATATTGTCAACATGAATCAATGACAAGATCCCTAGTAAAAATTAAAAAATACACCATATCATAGAAAAAAAAAAGTATTAAATTAAATATTTAATGAATAACGTATATGTCATGTACTCTATGTGATAAAGAATACAGATTCTGGGGCTGCTTGATCATATCAATCAAGCTTCCAAAAATATGATAAATTAAGGGTAAACCACAAATAGATGACCATAGATGAATGGAAAACTAAATAAGCATAATAATAATTTTTTTAATTAATAAAAAAAATGAGAGGACGGTTCTACTTCTCTAACTCCTGTTTTATTAACATCATCATCATCATCATCATCATCATCATCATCATCATCATCATCATCATCATCATCATCATCATCATCATCATCATCATCATCATCATCATCATCATCATCATCATCATCATCATCATCATCATCATCATCATCATCATCATCATCATCATCATCATCATCATCATCATCATCATCATCATCATCATCATCATCATCATCATCATCATCATCATCATCATCATCATCATCATCATCATCATCATCATCATCATCATCATCATCATCATCATCATCATCATCATCATCATCATCATCATCATCATCATCATCATCATCATCATCATCATCATCATCATCATCATCATCATCATCATCATCATCATCATCATCATCATCATCATCATCATCATCATCATCATCATCATCATCATCATCATCATCATCATCATCATCATCATCATCATCATCATCATCATCATCATCATCATCATCATCATCATCATCATCATCATCATCATCATCATCATCATCATCATCATCATCATCATCATCATCATCATCATCATCATCATCATCATCATCATCATCATCATCATCATCATCATCATCATCATCATCATCATCATCATCATCATCATCATCATCATCATCATCATCATCATCATCATCATCATCATCATCATCATCATCATCATCATCATCATCATCATCATCATCATCATCATCATCATCATCATCATCATCATCATCATCATCATCATCATCATCATCATCATCATCATCATCATCATCATCATCATCATCATCATCATCATCATCATCATCATCATCATCATCATCATCATCATCATCATCATCATCATCATCATCATCATCATCATCATCATCATCATCATCATCATCATCATCATCATCATCATCATCATCATCATATTAGGTTGGTGGAGGGTGGCAGAGTTTAAGAAAAAGAGAGCTTGAGGTGTTTACGAACCAAGAAATTTATGAAAGTCAGCTCCACAAAAGGAAAAAAAAAAAAATAACCAAGACATTTTTTTACGAACCATTAATGGAAGCCAAAATGCAAGAGAAAGATCTCACCTCCAAGGCTTTCTCTTCATCACATATGAATTTTGACAGCTTTTTCATCAAATCTTTCCTGTCTGCTCCTGCCAGTGCCTTGCTGATCTGTAAGGCAAATGAACCTCACAGCAACTATGTTATCCAATCAAATTTGAAGTACCACATATCAAACAATCCAGAGATTTGACCAAATAAATCCAATTCTAATGGATAGACAACAGTTCAGGAATACACACATACCTGGGGTGCATATATACAACCTAGTGCTCCAACAACAATTCCACCCAAGACAAAGCCACCAACAAAGATACTTGCACTACTTGGTCTTCCACCATCCACACTGCACATGCACACAAAGTGAAAAATTGTCTTAGAAAAAATAAAGTTCAATCTGACAAGAAGTGACAACAAAATGCTCAAGAACTAAAACAGGATTCTTTGAAAATCATCATAGATGTAAAAGTTTAGAAACTATCTTTTGTAGTCAGCATCAGCAAGGTCATGCTTAATCTGAAATGGTAAGCAAGCATCAAGGGGACCAGAACCATGCCACAATAACTAAAAGGCAACAATTCATGCATGTATGCATTTGCATGTCCGTATGCATGAGAGAGAGAGTGAGAGAGAGAGAGTGGCAACTTGCATCAAATAACTACAGGGGGAGAAAAAACTATTGAACCGTGAGTATCTCAACTGTTATTGCTGCAAAGATTTCACATTAACAAAGGCTATCAACCAACAGTTCTGATCAGTTGTAAGCATGATTTGTCATGTTGAAAAGCAAGAGAGGAGTTCTGGGTTTAAGAAAAGGCTAAAGTTAGTAATCACCTGGACCAACTATACAAACTGGGACAGAGAATTCATTCTGAAAAAAGTTCCCTCTAGATTAAACTGTTGAGTGATCACAATATCCATAAAGGGCTTTCCAAAAGGAGACAGTTATCTCCATTGATGGCATGGTAACAGTTATCTTGTTTACTTCCACCCTGAGAAGGAGACCGATAACCAATCCAAGGAGACTGGGGCTTTCTAATATTGTTAATGCTTTGAATATCACCTGAATTGGATAGCATCAGGAGCATTCATTTAGCTAAATTTACTAGCTAACCTGATACTCCTAGCTGGACTGGAAAATAACAGTGGTAAATTTCATACTAGATCCACTTATAATCTGCTTGCGAAGGAATCTGAAAGCAACAAAGATTAGAGATGGCTTTGGAAACTGCAATTCCCCATGAAACTTGAAAGGCTTCACTTGGATCATTCTTCATGGTGAAACAATGACTAATAAACAAAGGATTGCTGAGCTCTATCTTCTAATTCTCTCTGCCCTACATAACTTATATGAGGAGGACATCAATCACCTCTTAAGATATTGAGCTAACAAAGCATTGGAAATATTGGATATGGAAAATCTTAAGAAATGCTTGTAACAAGACTAAATTCCTTGGAATATCTCCATTTGTGTCACTGTATGCATATTTGGAAATTAAGAAATAAAGGTGTTTTCAAGAATGAGAACTGTGACATTCCTAGCACTGTTAGAGTCATCCAAAAATATGCCTTCAAAATCAAAGTTCTGAGTAAAACCAGATATGTAAGACTTATCAAGTGGAATTTTCCTCATAAAGGGAAGCTGAAGCTCAAAAGTGCTGGTAGTGCAAGCCTGTTTGACAACCAGAGATAGGGTACTTGGGCTGATTCTCCATTCTTTGAAGTTTCATAACCCACATGAAGAATTGTACCAGACTACATACATTTACCCAATCATATCTAAAAACCCTAGTGTATTAATCATCCCCATAAAGTCAGCACCAAGGAAGGCTGATTCGATAATCAATTTCATTGGGAGTTGTGCTGAGTTTCAGAACTTGTACTGGTCTCCTTTTCATGGGGAGGAAGGGGGTATTTTGGCATCAGATCAACCCAGCTTGGTAAAGAGAACTCATAGAAGTTTTGAAACTTGCATGCTTTCCCATTCCATCCATGGTTTCCTATTAAATGATCAACAATGCAATATTTGGGTCTCCAAATACCAACAAAATTTCTACTCCACCATTTTAGCTTTTTGAAACAATATCTTACATTTAAATCTACCAAGTATTTTAATCAGAGATGGATTTCCTCTTTCATGTCTATCAATTCAAATCAAACCAACAATCTTAGAGGTCATCACTGGTCTTCTTTGAGCATGTCCATATTCAGTCAACACCATAGTTGTCAAATCGGGATTCGTATCGTGAATCGAAATGGTCTTGTACCGAATCGCGAATTGAATCGAATCGTGAATCGTAAAGATTCGGTCACTTTTTCTAAATTACTTAAAAACATATATCTACACATTTAGATGTTAAATATATCTTATGAATATAAAATATTTAGACTTAAATCAATAAAAATGTTATTTTGAATAATAATCACGTAGTTTAATAGGTAAGAAGTTAACAAAGGTTCCTATGTAAGATCACCATATTACCTTTTTTTCTTTTTTAGATATTTCTTATCAACCGTTCTTAATAAAGATGTAATATCACCATCTTGCCTTTTTTCTTTTTTAGATATTTCTTATCAGTCATTCTTAATAAAGATAGTAACCAAATAGACAAACTATCAATTTCCAAAGTAACAATAATTAACAACAATGTTGATATTTTGACAATAAGCATATATACTTTTCTAAGTAACAGTGAGCAAATAATAAGAAGGAATTATTTAGAATCTTTTATTTTAAAGCCTAAAATATTTTAAAAAGTATAACTGACCTCACACATGTAGTATTCAATTTAATAAAATAGTAATAGATAATTCATAGTGTGACTTTAATCTTAAACATCTTTAGAAGATATATTATGATTTTTTAAAAGGAAAAAAAATGGGAAGAAATGTTAAAAATATGTTGGGTTTGATTGAATCTAACTGGATCTTATTAAAAACTCTATGATCACTAAAATAACAATAAATCATGTATATATGTTGGTTATTTTGGTATTAAACGCTATTAAAAGTTGTATTATGCCATTTTCACTAAAAAGATGGAGAAAAAAAGAGTCGAAAATATTTCGTATACAATAATTTCAAAAATTGCATGAATCGTAAAAAGTGAATCGAATCGTGAATCGATTATGAATCGTGCGATTCACTAGAGATTCACTTCCAAAATAGATTCTCCCATAGATTCGTATCGATTTTGCAAAAATTGCGAATTGAATCGTAAATCGTAAGATTCTGATAACAGAGGTCAACACTTATATTTCTTATCATTCACCCCCATAAATTCCTAAATGCCCTCATGCAAAGCCTTAAATATAGTTTTTCCACCTATCCACCACAATCTCCGGCATAGCACATTCATACCATGGACAGTCAAAATTATGATCCATAAATCATAGGGGGTTGTTGCCAAGAACCGTGTCAAATTACTAATATGAAATGAACCTAGATACTAGATGATTGAATTTTGTTTCAATGCAAGGCACAATTACTTCTGGCCCAATAATAGACATGTAAAGGAGGACATGTTCTCAGCTAGAGATCAATTCTATCTTTAACCAGGAACATACTTTATGCATGATCTTAGCCACAACAAGTGGGAGAATTAACTCATCTTAGGAGAGATGGCACTAGCAACAATGGGCTAGAAGTGAATTAACCAAACACTTTAGTCTTAACTAGGAAAGTAATCCAAACTAGAAAATTATTATTAAAAAAAAAAGTCAAAACTATGATGGAACTAAACTAAGACCATCTCCAAAGGAGACGGCAAATGCAAATTGCAGTGCCACATGGGCAGGAACCCACTCCAACAGACAAAAAATACAGCAACGTTGTCATGTTGAATCTCACATAACAAACAGATCATTTTGATTATAAAAAATAATGATATTCGTGGGGCTCATGGCATCCATTCTCAAGTCTCTACAGTAATTTCCCATTACTTATATTAAGATAATAAAGTTTGCTACTTCCATTGGAGTGAGTGCCAAATCTCAAAAGTAGCAAATGGAGGTAGCAATTCTGCATATGGGTTAGCAAAGGACACATTAGCTAACCACGCTTGCTACCTCCCTTTGGAGATGGTCTAAGTGATTAGGTAGTTGACAATCATAAGTTGGCCAAACCATCAAGTTGGGTTTCCCTTCTCAATTACTAAACTAAAAAGTTGCTAGCTAATCCACCAATGGAAAATTCATCATGTAAATATTGAAGGGAATCGTCCAAGTATATAAATTAATCGTCCATATTACCACCAAGTACGAACATATCATTTGTCCTTTGAGAGAAAAGTAGTCCGTAAGAGGAGGAGATTTAAATGAAAAGGTCAAAATTGCCAACCAGATGCTTGGCAAATTGAAGGGAAAAATTAGAATGTTTCAAACTGATAACAAGCAATTTAGAACACCTAACCTAATGGTGTGAAGTGACTATGAAGCAGAAGTACAACAACAGAAGATGTAACCTGATACTCCTAGCTGGACTGGAAAATAACAGTGGTAAATTTCATACTAGATCCACTTATAATCTGCTTGCAAAGGAATCTGAAAGCAACAAAGATTAGAGATGGCTTTGGAAACTGCAATTCCCCATGAAACTTGAAAGGCTTCACTTGGATCATTCTTCATGGTGAAACAATGACTAATAAACAAAGGATTGCAGAGCTCTATCTTCTAATTCTCTCTGACCTACATAACTTATATGAGGAGGACATCAGTCACCTCTTAAGATATTGAGCTAACAAAGCATTGGAAATATTGGACATGGAAAATCTTAAGAAATCCTTGTAACAAGACTAAATTCCTTGGAATATCTCCATTTGTGTCACTGTATGGCATATTTGGAAATTACGAAATAAAGGTGTTTTCGAGAATGAGAACTGTGACATTCCTAGCACTGTTAGAGTCATCCAAAAATGTGCCTTCAAAATCAAAGTTCTGAGTAAAACCAGACATGTAAGACTTATCAAGTGGAATTTTCCTCATGAAGGGAAGCTGAAGCTCAAAAGTGCTGGTAGTGCAAGCCTGTTTGACAACCAGAGATAGGGTACTTGGGCTGATTCTCCATTCTTTGAAGTTTCATAACCCACATGAAGAATTGTACCAGACTACATACATTTACCCAATCATATCTAAAAACCCTAGTGTATTAATCATCCCCTAAAGTCAGCACCAAGGAAGGCTGATTCGATAATCAATTTCATTGGGAGTTGTGCTGAGTTTCAGAACTTGTACTGGTCTCCTTTTCATGGGGAGGAAGGGGGTATTTTGGCATCAGATAAACCTAGCTTAATAAAGAGAACTCATAGAAGTTTTGAAACTTGCATGCTTTCCTATTCCATCCGTAGTTTCCTATTAAATGATCAACAATGCAATATTTGGGTCTCCAAATACCAACAAAATTTCTACTCCACCATTTTAGCTTTTTGAAACAATATCTTACATTTAAATCTACCAAGTATTTTAAACGGAGATCGATTTCCTCTTTCATGTCTACCATTTCAAATCAAACCAACAATCTTAGTGGTCATCATTGGTCAAAATTATGATCCATAAATCATAGGGGGTTGTTGCCAAGAACCGTGTCAAATTACTAATATGAAATGAACCTAGATACTAGATGATTGAATTTTGCTTCAATGCAAGGCTT